TATCTCTTTGTATTATATTATATGAAAATATGATATGAAAATTTTATATATCAGAACAATGTAAGACAAATGAATAACAAAGTGGAAAAAATTGTGTATAACGCGTTCCATCTGATAAAGTCTTTTAGATGATGAAACGTGTTACACTGAATTTTCCCCTTATATCATACAATTGCCTAATATTATATATATATATATATATATATATATATATATATATATATATATATATATATATTTTCATACTTATACTATAACTCTGGCGATGTAAAAAATAAAACCCAGATGATGCAATTTGTAAATAATAAAAAATATTACAATATATTAATATTAATTTAAGACATTTTTATGTTTATACATTCTTTTAAAATAATTGTCGGACTTTGTCCATTTCATATTGTGTGACGTCATTTGTTTACATTTAGGTACGCATCGAGCAGATATGAATGTTCGTGAGAGAATCATTGAAGATTGTAGTTTAAAAGACAGTAAAATCGACCTTGCTAACCGAACGCTCCTCTGTGGCCAAATCGGCTAAAGGCACGTCAGGCTATATGACGGTTCCGTATAGGATACAGGTTCAATTCCTGTCGGAGGACGAATATTTTCTATGAAAATTTCTCGGACATTCAGACCGGTAGATGTTGTTTAATACTGTTTATTATAAAACAGAGCATTTACTTAAATATTTGTATCTATAAAAAGAATGTATAAACATGAAAATGTCTTAAAATAATTGTCGGACTTTGTCCATTTCATTATATATATATGTGTGTGTGTGTAAGGTGCAGCAAAAGTAATACCGCTTTTTTTTTAGCTAATGTCGATAGAATGACGGAAAACGATTGAGTAGACACCGGCATCACTTGACCTATCACCATCAGATTTTTTCTTGTGGTGTTTACTGAAAGATCGTTTCCAGAGTGTTGCCAAAAACAATTACTAAGTTAAAACAAGTAATTTTGATAAATGTTCTTAAATTAATGTACAAATGGTTTATAGAAGTGTTGCTGATAGGGTTATACTGAACATAAAGGGGTCATTTTGAACATGTTAAATAGTTTACTAATCATAACAAATCATGTCTTTTTTTCATCTGCCAGTATTCATAAATTTTCTTCAACTACTGTAATTTATTTTTGTTCAATAAAGGCTAATAAATAAAAAAAATGGAAGTTACTTTTGTTTTGTCGGACCCAAAATACTGAAATTTTTGATTGCCAAGTTTTCATTACTACGTTTGTTTTCAGCGATTTTTTTCACGTGTTTTTGTGACGAATATTTTTGTACGATAACAATTTTTATAACATGGAAATAAATTTGGGAATAATCGAAATTAATTGCGAAAATCACCCAGGAAATTAAAAAAATAATTGTTTTTACAGAAAGTAACGACCTGTAGCGTGGTGCATGACGGACGACGAGTCAGCAATAAAAATATGAAGGATTGTCAATCAGATATAGCGGACCCCCCACCACCACATTTATTTAACTTTGTTTGTGAATGACATGGAAAAGGACAAGCAAAGACGCTGGAGGTGACCATCAAATGTGGCGATCACATGCAATTTATATTTGACGTAAAATAGCAGATAGCAAAAATAAAAGACAGAACGGAATGGTTCAAAAACATAACATTTGATTTTACTTGTTTTGATCTACATGCATATAAGCTAAAGGTTTGATAGCGTTACGTCTCTTAAATTTGGGAAATATTTGTACCGGAGCTCATTAAGTTGAATTGATTATTAAACTGTAGTTTTAGAAGAATAAAGTTCCTGTTGCATGTTAGGAAATGTGAGTTGGAAAAGTTGGTAGAGTTCAGAAAAGTTAAGAGTTCGTACTTGCGTGAATGTTGGTAATGTTCTTTAACGTCTGACCGCAAGGTCAAGACGAGAGTTCTTGAAGGTCACATCTTGGCAGCAAGACGAAAGAGAAAACGGAGAGAGAAGGCTTACTCGTGTTTTGTTTATATAAGGTTGTGTCACACGTGATCGGCTCCAACCTTGTGCGCGGGAAAATATAATTCCTCGCTTGCAGGCGATCTGATTGGTTAGAATTGACCAATCAGCAAGCTACTTTTGAGGAGATTAGCCAATGAATGCTTGTTGTATGATCTGTATGTATGTATGTGATAGTGATGATAATCACTATAGACCTACATGCATCATATTGTCTTTAAATTAAATGCACAAAAAATAGAGCGCTGAGCGTTTTCCTTAAAAAAAACGAGGTAAATAATTTGTTCACTTAAATGTAAATAACTTCACTTCTCTCCTTCCGTAGAAGGAATTATCCTCACGTAATCCGTTAATATGTCATTCATCAGCTGTCAAGTGACGCGAAAGTTTATGACCTGCTTTGTTTTATTTTCAAATTACATCTTTTCGGCGCAGAATCTAAGTTAACCTTCGTTCAAAATATTTTAAATAAACATTATAATTTCAGATTCTCTTAAAAGAAGTTTTGAAAAAATGATAATTGATTTTAAAAGAATTTCAATCTGAGATTTTCATTTTTTTTATAAAATGCAAAAAATGGTTTATCTGACAGTTAAACCATTGCTGACTCAAAAGAAACAAGATTTTTAACGAAAATTTGGGACGTGCTAGTAACGATTAAAAAATGTAAAAAAAAATACCCCCCAAATACTTTGATCTTTCTTCTTAATAATAACATAAACATTTAGACGATAAAATTTTGTTTGGCGTCTTTTTAATCATGCTATGCTCTTTTTTTAGCGATCTTGAGGAGGTACCTATATTAATAAAATACTTAAATGGAGCGATCAATTTTGATTTTTTTCTGTAGTTTATTGTCGCACCTTCTCCTGCCAACCTATTGCGATGAAAGCTCCGAAGGAGCTAGCTTAAATTGTGCCCCAAAATGGCAGCTTTTAAGCTAGTATGTATATAAACACACACACACACACACACACACACACACACATATATATATATATATATATATATATATATATATATATATATATATATATATATATATATATTGTACAATTGAAAGATAAACTGTAAGAAAGCTGGAAAAACTAAATAAAAAATAAATAAAATTTTCCATGTCTGTCATATTTAACGAAAGATGTTTAAAAAGAAAGGTTGCTACCCAAATATATATATATCGTGTGCCAATGGCTTAGGGGTAGATTATCCGACTGACGGCAATTCAGCCGGGTTTCGATTCTAAGTAGAGGTAACCGGATGTCTAACCTCACTAATGAGCTATGGTACAACGAAACAGTTTGCCTGTGGATGACAATATATATATATATATATATATATATATATATATATATATATATATATATATACACGACGGAAAGTAAAAATGTAATATAATTTGTTTTGTTATATAAGAAATAAGGAACACAATCAAACATGTCATGCATCAAAATATAGCTATACATCACAGATTCACATCCCTACTTTTCAACATAGTCACCACCTCTTTCAATGGCAGTGTTCCAACTAACGAATAAGGACATGTATCACATCTTTGAAAAGATCTGCTGGCTGCTGATATAGCCAATTCCTGACACCAGTTCTCGCTTCTTCATCATAACGTTTACCCCTCAGTGCCTCTTTCATTGCACCAAAGAAATGGAAGTCTAAGGGTTCTAAGTCAGGTGGTGATTGACTGGCGTCTTCCCATTTTCTCAGAACCATCATGCAATTAGTTGCACGTGAGGATTTTCGGTGTCATTCCATCTCTAGTGTGCACATGACCAGACAAGCAAAGTTGCGATCGCATTTTACATACAGGGTGCGGTAGAAATACCTCCCACAAATACCTCCCAGAAACACCTCCCAAATAATGGTAAGACATTATTTGCAATGGTGTCTTCATCTAGCTCAATGGTTCATATGCACCCTGAGTCCATGTAACATTACCGGTGTCCATTTTAAAATGTTTTTTTATGAGTTATTTTACTAGCGTACATAAATGTTTCACAAGATTTGGTTGTTAAATACAAGTTTATTTTCATTAAATTAGTTTTACTTCAAAATAAAACATATACATTTACTATTACTATAATACACTTCCTAAACTTATATATATTAGCAGAAAATAAAATTAGCTTTTTTTTTTTCATTCCATTTCCATTCGAGGTTACGGGGGTCCACCAAAAGGTTCTTTTAGCATAGAACTTACGGTTACATCTAGCCATTTCAACTGTAAAATGATGAGACCTTGCCACCAATCTAGTACTGCACTTAAATTCATAAAACCCAGATACTATATCGAAGAGTTCATCCGAACAATTACCATGTAAGTATTTATAGAAAAGACACAGGGGAAACAATGTTACGGCCGTGTGAAAATGACTGAAGCTGAGATGTCAGGTCAAGACAAATAATATTGCTGATTTTTTTTGTTTTGTTTTGTTTGTTTTTTTTTGGGGGGGGGTCTCAAGAATCCCTAAATATATAGCAGGAGCACCGGACAATATGTGGCAACAAAATTCAAAGCATGGGCGAACGGTAAACTTATAAATGCAGGAACACAGGATAAGTTTTTTGTTTTTTTTTGTTTTTTATCTGAATTTCTGGAATGAGAAGTTATCATTATTTACACTATTTATATTCGGACTATTGTCCTCATCTTTGTTGTTCTTATCACCTGATTATCTTCTGTCTGGGTTTCTGGGATGAGGAGTTATCATTATTTACACTATTTATATTCGGATTATTGTCTTTATCTTGTCTTTATATTGTTTTTATCACAACGTTTCCGGCCATCCTCAGCTGTATATCGATCTGGGTCTTCTACAGGAAATACGGAAATTAACCCTTTATTTAATCTACTGGGGTAGACTGTTCTCATGTCTAGACATAGTGTCTCGTTCTTTTAATTAGTTGTCTTTAGTTATTGCTCGCCCGGATTGAACTAACAGTCACTAATCTCACCAAGCCTCGTGGATAAAGGCGTCGGTTTGTGAATTTAGCCATTATCCATTTCACCACCCACACATCCGAGCTTACGCACCTGGTATTCCCAAGCAGTCTCTCATCTGGGTATTGACCAGGCTTGACATTGCTTAACTTCGGTGATCGTACGGGAACCGGTGTTTCAACAGCCGTAAACCTTTCATGTTTTGGGGCACGAGTGATGTGTGGATGGGTACATACGTGTGCTGTGTTTATGTATGTGTGTGTGCGCGTGATGTGTGTAAGTGTCTAGTAAATGTGTCTGATGTCTGTGTGGTAAGTACGTGTGGATGCGTGCGTATCGTGTGTGCGTGTACGGTGATTTTCTAAGCGTAGCTTAGATGCGGCACAAGGTCGAAAGTCTGGGGCACCCAGTGAGGATCGAACTCACTACTCAGTCGTAATTGATCTAGTTTGCTAACCATTACACCAGGTCCAGGTGTCTCAACGTGTGGTGTGTATGTATGTACGTGGTGTGCGTGTGTGTATGCGTATGCACGTTTTAAAATAAAGCCAAATTTAAAACCTTCAGAAACTTATTTCGGTGCTAACATTGAAATTGTTTCCACAATAGTGTCCCAGAAAAAAAAAAACAGGAAATTTTAGATTTACTATATGATAAAAAAATTAGCTAACATATAAAAAAAAATGGCGCGTGGTCTACTGTAATATGTCGTCTACCCAGGTGCAGCGTGAAGGTCTACCGTGCCCCTCCCCTCAAGAAAATGCGAGATGTTGGTAGTCAGCTGTTCCAGTCACATCTTGATCATGGAAGATGACGAGAAAAAAATCCCGTGATTTATTCTTGTTATTCGTAAAAGATATACGAAGTCTTTATTGCTTAAATAAATGTATGTATTGTATTTGATAGCGTGTTTATTTTTACCTCTCTGCATAAATAGTATATAGATATGTAAATGCTAATATAAGGTTTAAATAAATATGTATACACATACAATATTATATTATAGTTCGATGCTGTGGTAGACCTCACACTATAGACAAAACAGGGGAAGGGATAGATCCCACCCAATATTGAGGTAGACCTCACGTTATAATAGCGCCAAAAAATTAACTATATAATTTACTATATGAATGAACAAAAAAAATTAGCAAACATATAAATTCTTTGATCAGTTATCAAATTGTCAACGCAAAGCGATTGTTCTCTTTTAAAAAAGTACATCCAACTTGGAGACTGAAAAAAAAATGGCAAGAGATTTTGCCAGAGTTCTTTAGTTTGAAAAACACATTTGTGTTTTTGTTCTGTTTTGAGCAACTAAATTTCTATCCTTTGCTTTTGGTTCAAATAACTGTAACAAAAATTCCAACCTATTAAATAAACTGTACCAAATTTCCTGGTTTTTTGTGGGACACCCTGCAGAATAAAAAAAGACTTATGTGACTTGTTAAAACAACGCCCATGCCCCAGGACTTTATTAAATATTTCCTCTTACCTTCTCACATGCCTAAACACGTGCGCTAAGTTGTTTTTCTTATATATATATATATATATATATATATATATATATATATATATATATATATATATATATATATATCTTTTTGAAATTAGCAAAATACCCATGGAAATTTCACGGTTTTCCTATTTTAATTTTCTGATTTGATGACTGAATAAACCCCTTGCTAGTGACACGATTGTAAAATGTCCGTGGAAATTTTCCTATCATCTCGTTAAATATTTGAGCTAAACAACTTTGAACCAAATATTGTAATAACAATCCTAAATATGGATGTAGGTCGTTGTTTAAAGTAAAAAGACACAAATGAAAAGTTAAATAATTGAGAGGTTTTTCAATTTCACTGAAGCAGATATAAACGCATGAGTGCGTTATCGACTCATCTATCTTCCTTTTCATTTCTTTTTTCTTTTCTTTTTTCTTTTCTTTTATTTTCTTTTCTTTTCTTTTTCTTCACTAAAACCAAACAGCTTTTCTCTTGGTCCATTATTTATATAAGGTATTCACAGAATGTAACGGTCTCACAAACAAATTTATTATCTAACGGAGGAACAAACAAAAATATAATTTGATAAGACGACCAATTGTGGTTTTATTGGTGGCGCCATTTTATTAGATAGATAGATAGATAGATAGATAGATCAAACTTTATTATTAGTGGATAATCGTATTTGAAATAGACGCCCCACAATTTTTATTTTTGTTTTAAACAGTGTGTATTACGTCTTGCGGATTGCACATTCGAGAAAGTGAGCATATTTTCTTTATTGTGACTTCTCGAATAGGTGGGCAAATGGACGTAAGACACACAGTTTAAAATAAATACCGGGCGTCTATTTCAGATAAGAGTATCCAATATAATAATGTCTGAAGCAATAAAAATGTCGGATTAAAAATAAAAATTAAAATTAATATTTAATAAATGTTCATTGTACTGATTATATTAGTACCTTTTTGTTTGTCCTCGTTTTATTAACTAACATATCTATTTTACATATTATAAGAAGCACATGTGGACCCTTTCTTTTATATATATATATATATATATATATATATATATATATATATATATATATATATATAATGGAGTCTCTGTTTCGACGAATGAGGATCTGACAGCTCGTTCGGAGTTTCCGGTTTAGGTATATATATATGATGATGATGGACTTTCCTGTCGAGTTCGGCGTATGAGGTTCCGACGACCACAAACTAATTATCTGCATGCCTATGACGGGAATGACTTTTGAGACCGGTTCGAGAATTGCATAGAGAATTGCTTGTGTCGGACCATCCACACTTTTTGGATCTGTCGATAAAAAATAACGTTGCAAAAGACTTGCCACGGAAACTCCGAACGAGCTGTCAGATCCTCATACGTCGAAACCGACGAGGAGACTCCATTATATATATATATATATATGTGTGTGTGTGTGTGTGTGTGTGTGTGTGTGTGTGTGTGTGTGTGTGTGTGAAGAAAAATATACTGAAAAAACAAACAAAAATCCTAATATGCTGTTTTAATGTTTAATGTCAACGTCGGACGTTTCGGTCTAATAGACCATCTTCAAGACATATTCCTAAAACATAATTAACATAGACCATATACAATTCAACATGAAAAAGACGATGAACATAAAAGCAATACCAATCCAAACAGATGACTGAAATCTTTTATAAGATCAGCGTTCCGTTTAAATATGATCACGTCGTCGTCACGTGGGCGATGTTGTGAAAACGTATTCCTAAAATTTGAGTATTTTGAATGAAAAACGAAAAGAATTTTATTTTGATCTAAAACTTATATGTACGTTTTCCGAGCATTAATCTTTCTTTAATATGTCCTGAAGATGGTCTATTAGACCGAAACGTCCGACGAAAAATGGAATATATAGTAATAAAATATTATTAAATAAAATGACAAGAAAAAAGAGAAGGAAAAATATAAGGGATAAAAATTCTTGGATAAAAATTTGGAAATTTATTGTAAACAAAAAAGGGGGGTACAGAAAATAACATTGAATAAAAAATATTAAAGGAAAAACAGTGAGAAAAAGCGTATACATAGATAGATGCGCACGTGTACATAAAGGTGTGTAAATATACACAAACCGATACACAAACATATGAATCTCAATACACGTAAAGATATAAATACATATACAAAATTAATATGTATCTGCACGAACCTTCAAATTCATTATATATATATATATATATATATATATATATATATATATATATATATATATATATATATTGACATCCACAGACTGTTTCGCTGTATCACAGCTCATCAGTGTAGTTAGACGTCCGGTTGCCTTTAGCTAGAATCGAAACCTGGCTGAATTGGCGTCAGTCGGAGATTGACGCAAGGCAGGGATGAAGGTGAATTTAAGCGTATTTATTTTAGATAAACACAGAGTGACTGAGAGAACTCGATTCGCTTTACGGAAAAGTCTTGCATTATCAGCAGTAATAGTCGCTGTTTACAAACTCACACTTCCTCCATATATATATATATATATATATATATATATATATATATATATATATATATATATATGTATGTATGTATGTATGTATGTATATTTGGGTAGCAACCTTTCTTTTTAAACATCTTTCGTTAAATATGACAGACATGGAAAATTTTATTTATTTTTTATTTAGTTTTTCCAGCTTTCTTACAGTTTATCTTTCAGTTGGTACATATATATATATATATATATATATATATATATATATATATATATATATATATTTTTCAGCTTTTCGGACTTGCCTCTTAATAACGCATCTTATAAAAAGTTATCTTGGAATTATCTAATCTTTCGTTAGAAGTAAAATACGAGGTTTGAAATATTTTGATAGTTTTTGTTTATTTACAGGATTTTGATTCGTCTTAATTTTGTAAGTTCTTGACCCAGGGTGGAGCGACATGACATGTTAATTATTTACTTTTGTTGCTGATGGAACAATTTATTTAAATTTACAAATTTCATTAGACCAAGCCTTTGACAGCTCTTTGCTGAATTGCAGGTTTTTATCAGTCAAGAAATAAACGACATTACAACTGCGATGCCATTTGTCAAGGATGCTGATGTTGTGTCCTCCCTCTAAAGAGTCTATGTTGGACTCTTCCGCCTACTATAAGATTAGTAGGAGAGAAGGCCTTGGGGGAACAGTCGACCAGATTGTTCAACTGTCTCGGCAGAGAGGAACTCGGACGAAGCTTTGCCGCAGGGCAAAGTTTCGTCCGGGGAGGTAGACAGGCCCTGAACCCGTTTATGCGGGTTCTAAGGAATTATTTTTGTCCGAGCATACGGGCTCGGAGAACCCACGGTAAACTCGGCCTTGTGCCACATGCATCCCCCGTGGATGGAGGGAGGGGCTGTTAAATAAAAAAGTCGAATGGGTTGGACGCTGGGTCAACCGACGCACACTCACCAGTCGTGTAATTCTCTTCTGTTGTACTTACTGTTTAATTTACGATATATCTGTAATGCTTGTCTTGGCATTTCTTTAACCATTTACTTGGTCACAACAGGTGCAAATAGGAGCAAAAGACATTTACTGTTATTATTGCCCGAGTTGTAAATTAGTCTCGGCGTCGTGTTTTACCTAAAGTATCAATCTCAATTCACGAACCAACACTTTAACCCACTTTAATTTACG